GTACACGCACACACACACACACATATATATATATATATACGTAAATACATACATGCACACCTACTCCCTCAGCCCCAGCTGTCCGGCCCGTTGCATAGCCAACTAGTACATCGTCATAACTACAGATCTGGCGAATACGACAATAATTTGGATTCCACACAACTTGGTAATGGTACATGATTGATTTTCTCCAGGCCTGGTTACCAATGTACCTATGCGCTTGGGTGTAGAGGCTCAAGAAGAGGGCCAAAAGACATTCAGCATTGCACATGAAAGGGGCGCGTAGGGCGGATGAGTGTGTGGGACGCGGTCCAGATAAATGAGGGCATGACGTGGTGACGGAGGTTTGGCGCAAAGTGGTCAGTTGATGAGACTGGGCTGGCAGCAAATTACACAAGCGCTTCTGCCTTCTCGAGCCAGACGAATAGGGATTGCCTCCATTCGCCAAAGCAACACAGTACGAGTCATTGGCCCGTCCCCCGAAGCATCCGCGGACCAGACCAGCCGAGGTCGAGGGAGAGGACAGTCTAGACGAAAGGGGAGTGGGTAAACTGGCTGAGGAACAGTTTCTTATCTCAGCTTGTATCAAATATAATTAACGGTAGGCCGAGAATGCCGGATTGGTATGTCGATATGGGGGGAGTTTTGTGTCAAGACGGCATGGTTCGGGTTGTGTAGCCATTCTCTAGCCAATACGTCCCGACGAAGTGATAAAATAAGCGACAATCAGTGCCTTTATTGCTTCGTAAGCTTGTGAAACTGCCATTTCTCGATCTGGTCACGGTTACAGGGCTTGAGTTGAGTGTTTCCTATCACTCACACACACGCATTCTGTATACACTTCACACCGTACGGTCCTCAGTTGCTGCTGCGACTGGCGAAACACGATAAGCCCAAACTTTCGTCGCGGTGCCTGAGTTGGCCTCCAAACAGTACATTCGAGGTTTCAAGACAATCCACTCATCAGAAATATAAGATTTAAAATAGAATTTTCGTAGTAATAAGTCATTTTTCGATAGGAATTTAATCACACAAGGTAGCGTAATGTGATTTAAA